AAGTAAAAATCATTTTTTCATAAGATGAGAAATTAATTCCTAATGAAACCAATATTTGAACATTCTGTACATTATAACCAATTTAAATAATAAGACTTAAAACAATAAGTTTAAAAGTTTACGCTCTAATATATTTTTAAATAATAAAGGTAGACTTTTTTCTAATTCTGGGACACCCTGTATCCCTGTATATAGATAGGTATATGGATAGAAGTACCTAACTCTTTAAAATGAAGTATTACACCTACCTACTTATAAATTTGACCAATAATAACGCCGTAAAACATTAAAAATGCTTTTAAACATGAATGCCATGAAAATGGTTATTTTTGGTTATTATTTTACATAAATATATCGACTTTGGTATCAAATAAAAGATAATTTAATTTCCCACAAGTTAAGCTATAAATAATAACCATAAGAAGCGTATTTTTTCCGGTATATCGTCATATAACTACATAAGTACATTTTATGCCTTTTTCTGGTGGCAAGTGGTTAATTTGCAATTCCACGAATAAATATGTGAAATTTTAATAGTCTTAAGCTTGTTAGGCATAGCAGTAAAACTATTTATATACGTATATGGATATAAAATTTTATTATTCCTCCTTTAAATCGCTGATTTAAAAACTTGGGGTGTCAAAGATTTAATAAAAAAATCCAATTTAATCGCTCGAACGCGTTTCATTAACACCGGAGTTCAAATAAAGGGTGAAAATGATTTTTTCCCATCGCCTCTGCAGAGGATTATTTTTCTACCTTTTTAAATAACGAAAAATAAATACTAAAGTTATTAAATTAAAAAGACTATTATGTTTTAAATACTGCGCAATCATCCCTTACTGTATTAAAATATAAAAAAAACTAAAGAAAAAAACGTGATTTAAGCCCAGTCATTATATGAATATTTGTTCAAGTTTTTTTAGTTAATCAAAATTTCATTGAGCATATTTACAGTAGTGTTAAAATAATAAGAAGTGTTTGTAATGTCATAAAAAACTCCCTTTTTAGTTAATATAGGGGTGCACCACCCTTAACTAGTATAGTTTAGTACTTCAAAATAATCGATAATATATTTTTAATTTATGTTATAAAGAATAAAAAGTTATTTCAAAGGATTCATAATATTTTCGGTTATAATATAAAACAAAAAAACACGTTTTTATTCTAGATAGCCATGGAAAATGATTATTTTGACTCTAACTTCTTTATTTATGGACATAAGTTTATCGAGTAACACATCAAACTTAATTATTTTTTATTGTCCATTTCATAATAAATACTTTTTTTGTATTTTTTTGCTATACCCTAAAAAAATAGGTTTGTCATTTTGAATCGATGTTTTTCTAAAGAAAATACATAAATTAAAAATAAGCCATGCCATAATAATATTATTATGGAGTTTTGTAGATTATAATTTATATTTCAAAGTAACCTTGTCACGCACCGCTATAGTATAGTAAAAATAAGGCATAGAAAAAGTTTATATCAAATCTAAAAGAGAAATATCACGTTATATATGCAATTTTATTTCGACTTTACGCACGATTGTACCATTTTGTGCCAGCCAGAAAAATTCGCTCAATATTTCTCAATATGTGGAAAATTCGTAAAAATTAACAAATGTACTGTTTGCTTGGTAAAACGGTGCAATATTTAAAGTGGCGAATAATGTAGAATTACGAGTAATTTCCCTAAAATAAACCCGACGAAAATTACACCGAATTTGGGTAAGTTTACATGATTTTGCGATTTTAATATGTATCGTGTTTTAGAGCTATTTTCGAATAATTTGAAGGAACTGGCAATTTTCAACCCTTTTATTGTTTATTTCGAAATTAGAAGTACCTACCTAAGAAAACACCACACAATTTAATTAGAAAAATATTACAAAAAAAAATATTCATAAAGTTTACAACTTAAATTTAAACCAAAAATATCTCACAATTATAAAAATAAAATTTGATCTAGTAAGTCTTAAATTTACATTTTCTTTGATATTTCAGTTATTTTTTGGCATATATACATCAAGTGACACCTTAAATGACATCTGGTATACTATAATAGCATTAATACCCTATTCTAGTACTGTCAGAATTATTTTTATAAAGTTTTTGAAATTAAAAACTGTTTTTGACAATGACATATCACAACTTAATTTGACCAAAAATAGCAAAAAACAAAATTACATCTAGTAAGCTTTGAAATTTACATTTTTCGCGATATTTCATTTATTTTTTAACATGTACATCAAGTGACACCTCAAATGAAAGGATTTTTAAAGCTGCGTCTAATAGTAACATAAAATGTCGCAGTTTTTTTACATACCCTGTTTTACATTTTACAACCCCTTTATTCCACCCCTCATTTTTTATAAGTATTGGTAATATGGATGCCAATCAATCGTATTTCAATATTCCCCTATTTTTTCAACGATAATTGTCACCCTCGGTGAATTCACCCCGAATAATTTTATTTCACCCCCGAAACAATTTATTGAACATATTGACTATGGAAAAATGGTGGTAATTGCGGGTTACGCCCAATGCTAAAAAAAATCGATGATTTTTAGTAGAATGTAAATTTTATGCATTAAAAATAAAACAAAATATCGGTGTTGTAAAATATACTAGCGTGCTGCTTGGCCATTATTAGCTAAAAATTTCAAATTATAAGTTTGTAATATTATTATGGCATGTCAATATTAAGAAAGTTTCCCTAATAATAATATAAAATAATGAAAATTGAAATCCCAAAGAATTTGACCTTTTTAATCGAATTTCTTTGCAGATATTTGGATTTTGTGTATACCAACTTTTATAAAATTAAATTCCCTACAAAATGATGTATCACATTAATATATTTAATAAAAAAACAACCCTGAAATCAATAAAAACAAATTTATCTAGAGTGCTTTGCAATTTTATTTTTTTTGCGATAGCTTGATTATTTTCATGGAAAAGTATATCAAGTAGGTACTCAAAAAATAGTAAATTTTAGTCTTCAAAACGTGAAAACAAAAATTGTAAAAAAGTGCGTATTTTATCCAGTATACCCTAAAATTACAAAACCAACAAACACCTAAATCAAAGAAACGCATATAAAAACGACTTTCAGCGATAAAAACACATAAAAACCGTCGGTCGACGTGTGTGTGTAAGTGTGTGGGAGAGAAACAGCAACATAAAAAGAACCAACTTGACCGCGAGCCCGTGATTTTTTCACGTTTTTTTTTCGATCGCGCTGCGGGCGCGCTGTTTTTTTTTGCGCGGCCGACCGGTTTTTTTATGCGAGCGTCGAGCCTGCACACAACAATTTCTGAATTGAGGCAGGTCAGTAAACCGAGATTCTTTACAGCAAGGTTTTCAGTTGTTTTAATTTTTTTAAGTTGTAAAGTGTTGAAAATCCTTTAAAATAGTGTGTCGAACTTTGATTTTACTCCGAAAATAACCCGAATATAAGCATAATACATAATAGTCTAGTGGCCCTTGGAATAGGTATTTTTTTACCTTAACTCTTTTGTTTATTGTACAAAATATAACATGTGGGGTATCAAACTTAACGAAATTTCAAGGCCTACCCAAATATACCTTAATTTATATTTTTATTTAAATCAAAATTTGGGTATTTAAAAAAAAGAAAATTTTAATCCATTTAAAAATAATATTTTCAAAAATCGCCTTACTTAGTAAAACCACCCTATTTTAACGGTTTATCATATAAAAAATGTAGATCCGTTATTTTATTAAGTCAAACAATAACCATAGCGTACTCTATTTACATTTCTTTTAATTTTTTTCCGCGTGAGAATGCTTACAGCTTCTTATTGTCCTTCTCAGGCAGGTAGATACATTTACATACCTTGTATAATTATAAGGAGGGTTAATTTTTTTGCTTTGAAACAATAGTCTACCCAACGGGACACTTTTCAACCCCTTTTCAGTATTCAAAAGCTTCATATGATTTTTTGTTGACTGTAACTCCGTGTGAATCATTTTTTTGTTAATTTCGCGCTCTATTGTTTTATTTTTAAAGTGGTCTAACCAGTTTGGCGACAATGACATTTTTTTAGTTGAATTAAAATGTAATTGGGACGTTATGTGGTTGAGTATTAAAAACGCGTTAAAATGATGTATCGCGCTTAAAGTTTGCTCGATAAAGAAAGCTAATATTAACGGAATAAAAGTCAATCTAGTGTGCGTTGGAATTCGTGTTTTTTATATAAATCTTTTGAATTTTTATGTAACCCTGTCAAGTCGCATATCAAATGTCTGGATTTTTTATTCTCTATCCAATAAAATTAATACTTTTATTATACATGTCTTATTTTAGTCGATATACCCTAATTTAGCATTTTTCGTGCTAGTTTTTAAGAGCACTGCAGAATTTAAAAGTAATTGAATTATCTTTAAGTGCTCGTCTTCTTTTATTCTTTCCCGAACGCGATGAAGGCTTTTAAAAGCTTATTTCTTTGTTTTTCTTTTCTGTGTTTCGTGTTGTTTTGTTTTCTCTGTGGCGTAAGAAAACTTTTGAATATTTTATACTTTTTAAAAATATCAAAAGAAAGGTAATCGTCAATTAGTTTTTCTTTTGTGTAATTTTGGTGTTTTTTTTGTGTTAGTAAGAGAAATACTTACCGAATATTTGACATGTTTTTATTATTAATTCCAATACCCCAAAAGGTCATGTCTTTTTTCAATATAGTGCAAATGTTACATATTACATGCATTTGGTGACAAAATTAAACAGGTTGTTAAGTGTTTAGTTTTGTCATTAAAGAAAAATGGATACGAAAATTCTTAAAATTGGTGACCTTAACCCCCTTAAATGAACGTTTAAGCAATACATCTCACTGTATATGCAAATTTCCCAAAAATCGCCCAAAATGTCACCAATCGACTAATCAACAAAAAATAAGGTAAATTAGGGTAAAATAACAAAAAAAAAATTAAGCTTGCAATGGAAGATATCTGTACGCGATTGAATAGTAGCCAACTCACTCGTTGAAGGGTAGTCCAGCATTCTTCCAAAGTCCTTTCCGAAATCGCTGAAGAGTTACGTTGCAGTTGATTGAAATCCGGCAGCGTTAATTGGGAAAGCAACTGTTTAGTTTTGTATTAGTAAAACACATTTAGATTTTGAAAAAAACACCAACAAACCATGCAAAAGTGTCAAAACCAAAAAAAATAAATAAAAAAAACCGTCGGTTTCCAAGGAAAATAGCATCCCTAGCAACGATAAACAAATGCCCGTATAGTTGCCATGGTAACGCAATCATATTTAAGGTAGTTGTCGTTCTGTGAGAAATACTTATTAAGGACAAGACAATACAATCATCCTTAAAATTTGAAGTCGATTGACCGTCTATAACCCGAGATAAATTCAATTAAAAATTGGATAATTAACATGGATTGTATACGCTTTCTGTAGTTCTGTACCAGTTTCTTATAAGAAACTAACTATAGTTATATAAAAAAAACTAACTGTCAGAAGCTTTAAAAAAACTAACAGTCTTTTAATGTATTTTTGCTGAGTTTAAAAAAAAATAATTAAAAATTTTTGACCGTCCAATTGTTTATAAATAACCGTTTAAAGTTCAACTTTTTGTAAAAAGTATACATCACTAGTGTCAGATAAAAACAACTTGGCAACGCTGTACGAGAGTATAGATATTATTTCCGCAGTAAATTCAAACAGACTGATTCAGTCTCCAATATATTTATTGGTTGAGCATAAGTGACGTTGCCGGATTAAAACTTATGAAAATATTTGAAAGTATTACGTAAAGGTAACGTCTCCAAGGGTACAGTCTTACTTACTTACTTAGCTACAAGCTCGTATACTTTTACGGTGCGTATAATCTAAAAATGTTTGACAATATTGTACCACGACAACTACCTATAAGTTAAAATGTAAAGAAAATAATTTATTATCTTATATAACACAAAACCACGAAAACCTATTTAAATAAAACTTGTAAAAAACGAAAAAAAATTAAGAAAATCAATTCGTAACTAAGGTAAATTGCGTCCCTAGAAATGATGGTTGCCATGGTAATGCAATTTAATAATAAAAATAATAAAAGTAGATTCATAGATAGTATATAGTTAAAATTGTAAAAACACGGAAAACCAAAAAAATTATCAAACAAACTTAAAAAAAATCTCCGTTGGTAACTAAGGAAATGGCCCTTTGTAACGGTAAACAAGTGCTATGGTTACCATGGTAACGAAATAATAAACGTTCCAGAATTAAAGTTAAAAAAATTTAAACACAAAAAAATTTTAAAAACAAAAATCCCATGGTGACTAAGAAATACCTCCCCTAAAACTGTAAACAAGTTGTAGACTACCATAACAACGACTAAACAAACTTGATAAACATTCTTGATAAATTGAAAAAAAAATCGAAAAAAAATTAATAAACAACAAACAATCTACCTAGCAAGGGTAGTAACCATGGTAACGCATAAACAAAAACATAGCCTTCTCAACTTAACTCAGCTTAAATCAACGCAATAAATAAAATAGCAGAGTCGCGAACCGGGTTATTTTAAGAAGCGCTTTTAATCTAAGCGTGGAAGAGGGAGATCGAGGCGTCGCGACGCCCGTTATCTTAAAGCGACGCCTACTAGATGTCGCGCGGATGCGCAAATTGCCACGAACAATTTTAAAAGCTGTTGTTTACCAGCGAAATTTTTACGATCCAAGTGGCCGTGGAAGATTTTTACGGAAATAATAATAATAAAAATTAAGCACGGTTGTTAATGTTAAAAATGTTAATATTCTCCATGCGTTAAAGACTACTGTGCAAAATATAATAGTATTTTTAGATTAACAAGATTTTTTGTTTTATGAAAAAAATTAAGTTATTGAAAATGTTAACTTTGCCTTGGTTAACAAGATTTAATATCTTTATAACGGCGCAATTTTGTTGTCAAATATATAAAACATAAAACACAATCAAAAAGCTACAGAAAACCGGCAATTTGCGCCTTAAACGACAAAAATCTATTGCGCCTTGAGGCGCAAATCTCGGACTAGAAACTTACTTGTAACTCATTAACGATTTTTTCGGTCATCAGTTTGTCCGGTGAGTTTTGACCGCTACCGAGTTGCTGTTGGTGCTGCAACATCTGCTGATGAGCGAACGCTTGCGCCTGCGCTTGCGCTTGAGCCTGGGCTTGCGCTTGCGAGTTCGGCGAACCCAAATGAGGCGATTGTTGCTGGTTTGGGGTGTTGTTTTGTTGCTGAGGATTAGGCGTGCCTTGCTGCGAAGGTTGTTGGTTGTTTTGCTGCTGTTGTTGCTGGTTTTGCGCTTGCACTGCCTGCTGCTGTTGAGCTTGCGCCGCTTGTTGCGCCTGCACTTGCTGCATTTGGTTGTTGACGTTGTTTTGCTGGGTTATAGCGTTGTTTTGCATCTGTTGCGTTTGATTTTGTTGTTGTTGTTGGTTGTTGGCTTGTTGCAACGCCAATGCGCCAGGTGTAACAACGTGTATTTGACTTGAATTACTTTGTTGAGATGGGGAATGTGCTGGTATACTATTTGTACTACCCGGAACAGGGGAGTTTTGATTTGAATTGGACAAATTCTGTGGCATGTTTTGGGGTGGTCCTCGCGAATGATTCCAAAAATCGTTATTCATCTTAAATACCGGTCGGTTGTTTACTTCCGCCATAGGTATCTGCAATGGCGGAAGAGGAGTCGCTCTGAGATCCAGGGCTGCGTTTTCCTGTAAAAAAAAATAAAAAAATTACGATTTTTAAAGCAACTATAGTATAATGACACTTAAAACAGCGTAAGTCTTATTTGACAAAATTAAATTATAATTGTGTGGTGAAGTATTAAAAACTCGTTCAAACGACGTATCGCACTTTAAGTTTGCTTGAATATTAACGAAATAAAAGTCAATCTAGTGTGCGTTGAAATTTGTGTTTTTTTGATATAACACTTTCGTTTTTCTATATAACCCCGTCGAGTCGCATATCAAATTTAAGGATTTTTTATTTAATATCCAATGAAATTATTGTTTTTATTGTACGTGTCTTTTTTCGGCCGGGATACCCTAATTTAGCATTTTTCCTGTGAAAAAAAAAACAGACTATTGGCAAGATTTTTATTGTCGTAAAAATCGTACTTTTGTTGGTATACCCTGAAAATTTCATTTAATTTTGTCAAAAGTTAAAAAAGTTATGACGATTTAAAAAAAAGTAAAAAAAAATCCAAAGATCATGCTTTGTTGGCACAATCTGAAAATTTTATTAATTTTAACCAAATATATGGAAAATATAAATTTTTACTTAATTATAAATATTCCATGATCAAAATATCGATTTTAATGGATGAATTTTTAAAATTAAAATTCCTTTAATATAAAATTAAAATAATAAATAAGTAAAATTGTACATAAGTAGTAGTTATGCTGCTGTTTTTGCTTATTAAAAATTTAAATAGAAATTTACTAATTATGGGGAGAATATGATAAAAAATTAAATTATATTTTGACGTAGAATAACATAAAAACTATAAAATCTACAAAAATGCGGTTTTCACCAAAAAAATCTAGGCTTTTTTTCTATAAAAACAGTTTTTAAAATTAAAAAAATATTGCTATTTTTATGTAATTTGCACGAATTTAATAGCCTTACATGGATGTCAGAATATTTTAAAGTAGTTTTTGCAAATATCTTGTTTTATAATGGTTTTAGGTAAAAGTTTATAAAATCTTAAATATAGATTTTTAGAGAATCTACAAAAAATTACTGTTTTGTATGTAATGTAACGCATCTTTATCAAAACAATAACATTGAAAGTTTATACACGCTTTTTAAGAAAATTTTAACTCAAAATAACACGAATTTCTACTATTTTATTTCTATTTAAAAAAAAGGGATTACCTGTAATTTAAATGAATTTTGTAGCCACTTCGCTACAAGATTCTCATGTTCCACCTTTAAGTTGCTTAAAATGTTTTGCTCCTCCGTGGTGAAAATGTTGGCGGCGTTTTTGACAGCTGAATGACAATCAAAAATCAACGTTGCCAAGTTGCAACGTTAACGAACGAACAGCGTCGAAATATTGCACTGGTTACTTGATTATTCGTAGTTAACGAGTAAGTCGAAGTCGTCTATTGTTTTTTGTTGTGGTAAGGTGATATCCGTCAAATTGACAGATTTGGAGTCTATTCTTGGGGGGTATCTTCGAAAATGAAGATGATTTGTTTTAAATCTGAAAAATTACCCGAATTTAGAAGTTAGGTCCTTGGAGTACAATTTTGTGTAAAAAATGTGTATTAAAATTGTAAAACTATAAAATATGGAACATATGAAACTTAAAATTTATATAAAAAATGCAACTATAATTTGTCTTTTAAATTAAAAAATAGTTATTTTTACAAAAAATAGAATTGTCTTTTAATTTAAAAAATATTTACCTATTTATACAAAAATAGCTCTTGTGTTTTCAAAAATACATTCAATTTTTAATTTTACATAAAAATATCAAGAAAATCCGAAGAGATAATGACAAAATATATGTTAAGTAAAAATGTAAGAAATATTAATAAAACGCTTAAAAAATTGTAAATTTAAAAATATAAAAATATATGAACCAATATTATTTAATATTAAATATTTAATAACGCTTTAAAAATAAAAATGTGAAATTTAAAAAAAATACAACAAATTGTCGTCAAAATAATTTAAATTTACTCATTTTTGTTTTACTAATTTTTGATGAAAATTTAATTTTGAATTTCTGATAAAAGCAGTATTAGATTAAATAGATAAAACATTTTTTCTTAAATTTTATACTTGTACCATAAAAAAACTATTTTAGTAGAAAAATTCTGCAACATTTTAGTTTTAAAAACATTATATTTTAACAGGAAAATTTTATTAGAACATTTATTTAATGGCCGATAAATTATTATATTAATATTGCGTGAAAATGCTAAAAAATCCCAAAAAATGTCTTAATATTATATTGTAAAAACTAACGTTGTATTATAAACTTTTTGTCAAATGACTTAGTCGGAATCAAACACGTGTCGTCTATACATAAACCGGTCCTAACTCCAAAAACAAAACACTGTTTTATACTCACAGTTTCGAAAAATCCTTTAAGACAAAACAAAACTAATCTTTGGTATAAGTAAATAAATAAACTAATAATATTGCACACTAAAGTCCCGGCCTTCACCAAACACAACACTAAACACTTGTATCAGTAGAGAGAGACTTGATACGAGATTTCCCAATTTTCACCAGAGAGCGTCTTTTGAGATGCTTGTGTTTTGAAAGACGTCGTTCAACTAAGAAATTTTCCGAAGCTTTTCCTTAAGCTTTCCATCGCACGAGTCGGCACAACTAAGAATATACATAGAATCTAAAAACAAAGACATGAAACGCTTCTACATCGCGATAAACAGAGACGGCTGCGAACACAGTCTTTACTCCGAAGACAAGGAGGCCGTGATACTCCACTATGAGTCAGACAAACACAGCCTACTACGCTAAGGGTAGAAACAGAGATCGACTCACACAAGAACAACAAAATAGAGCGAGACACCCAAACCTTAGAAAATCGTCTTATATCTCGCGCATGCTCACATCACATTAGCCAAGACACAACCCCCACCCTTAGGAAGGTGTAAAAAACTCTTCCTTACATTTTTTTCTTATCCCCACCCCACAAAGGCGATACCTCCCCTAATTTTCGCGCGAAGTGGGGCGAATCCCCGTATTTTTTTCCCTATCATTCCACAGCCGGCTTTCTGTGCGATCACGTCGTCATGTCTGTGTTTTGTTTAGTGTGTTTTTTTGCATGTTTTTTTAGTGTAGATGTTTTCTGTGTGTTTTTTTTGTGTATTTGGCTGTGTTAAGGGTAGTTTTTCTATGATTTTCAGGCCTCAAAATATCCTAGAAACCCTCTAAAACTGTCCTAAATTTACTAATCATTTTCTAAAAAATTATTTTCTTATAAGAAGTATACTTCATTATAAATTTTCCATGATTAAAACATAAACAATTTTTATTGAATGATTAAAAAAACATCCCTTGTTTTATTTAAGGTTTTTTTAATATAAAATTAAAATAATGAATATGTAATATTGCACATATGCACATAAATGTATAGTAGTAGTGATGCTGTTATTTGCTTATTAAAAATTTAAATAGAAATGTAAAATGTGAACAAATTGAATTACATTTTAACGTATAATAACATTAAAACTATACAATCTAAAAAAATGAGGTTTTCGCCAAAAAAAAATTGCGTTATATTTCCCACCAGAAAAATGTTTGAAAATTTAAAAAAAATATTGTACCTAATTAACCTGCAATTTGCATGAATTTTATAACGTTACATATAAAGTAGTTTTAGCAGATATCTTGTTTTATCTTGGTTTTAAAAGAAGGAGTTTAGAAACAAAAATGTAGATTTTTAAATTCTCTACAAAAAATCTAAAATACTTTTTTTATATATGACTCACCGTTACTGAAATAACGGGCTTTAATTTTTTTTACTTAAAACGCGTTTGACGTGGTCACAAATAACTCTAAAACTATAAAAGCTAAAAATATTTCCGTTTTTCACTAACAAATTTTTTTCTATAAGATTTTTTTTAATTATAAAATTTACTAAAATTTTTCAAGAACGCCTTATAACTGTTTGATTTTGTAATATGTATTTTGCTGACATCTAAAAATTATTACTGTTTAAAATTTACCAAACATGGGGTAAAAAACTTTTTAAAAATTTGTAATGAATTCATTAACAAATGTTAAAAAAGTAAAAAAGACTAATATTTTAGTTATTTCGAACAGAAGTTTTTTAAACATTTTTAGGGTACACTGCTACCAAAATAAAAAAGTAAAAAAACAAGTTTTGAACTGACTATATTCGTTTTATTATGAAAAGACCTATTTTTGAAATGTTGACAAATGTGTTTTTGTTATTGATGGGTTAAAACGCCCCAATAACAAAACTATACTTTAATGTCAAACCATCCAATAATTATTAAATAGTTTCTTGACGGCAATCCTTATGCAGGTTTGTACTGACATTTTGATTTCGTCGTTGGCAAACTAGTATTTGCCAATAAAGCGTTAATAATTTCGGGTAGTATACCCATAAAACCTCCTCTTCACGTTCAGTGCAAAAAACTGCTTCTATATCGGATTTAAAAGGTTTTTAGTCCATTTTTAACAAATAAATTTTGATTTTTAACTGGGACATTAAAGCCGGTAACACAAATTACTAACCTTGGTTACTCTATTTTTGTATAGATGTCGCTCTATACAAATATTTAAATTATTTAGTAATAAATTATTTTTTAAAATAATATTTGTTGTAGTATGCAAATTGTTTATAGTATAGTATTCAACTTGTTTATAAACTTTTCACTCGCTCGAAAGCTTCGCTCGTGCCTAATTTAAATTTGTGACTAAAATGGCGTTTATCTAACATCATACATAAATAATGATTATAAAAATCTTCTTCTGATAAAAAACAAGTTTTAAAAGTTTGTCATACAAACTTTTTCTGAAAAAAGCTAATCTATACCTAGCAATTTTATAAATGTCCAAAAAACTAAAAAATGATTTTGATACTTTTGTTGTATGATAATTATAATTATTTGTTGAGTTTCACGAAAAAGCTAATTTATAAGAAATTTTA